TCTGATGTTATGATTATGATTATCCTCATATCTGGATGTTCGGCTCATAAAACTTTAACGATTTAACAACAAGTAATTTTTTTAGTAAGTGACTTATATTGATTGATTGTTTTTTATTAATTATTTATTTTTGTTTGGCATTTTTATGATTTAATTATTTTTCAGTAAGTGGCTTTGATCGTTTTTGTTTTAAAATTATTCATTGAATTTTTTAATAAATTTTTGGTAAACGTTTTATTTGAAATGTTTTATTTAAAAAATATATATATATTTTTATGATTAAATTTGTATTAAGCGTTTTATTTTGACTTTTTATTGTAAAATTATTTATATATTTCAATTAGACTATTTTATGATTTATTCATTTTTTCTAAGTGGCTTATTTCTATTTTTACATTTTTTAATTAATTTTTGGTAAAAGTTTTACTACACTTCCGAAACCAACGCCTCTGGAAAGGGGGTGGGGACAGTGGGACTAATCAGATCCCTCAGTGGGCGGAGCTTGGGCTCAGGGGCGTTATCATCTGAACAGAAACTGCAGTGTAATGCGACACTGACTGTGTATGAGCGTGAGGAAGCGTGGGTGATCCATCAGGAAGTGTGTGTTCGGCTTCTCCGGGTCACTGAGACCTCCGGCCCGAAGCCACGCCGACCCGAACATCTTACAGTAATCCAGCTCCGCTCCCCGCCTCTCGTCACTCTCCACCTGATCACACACACACACACAACATCAGACACACACACACACACACACACACACACATCACACTCAACATCAGACACACATCACACTCAACATCAGACACACACACACACACACATCAGACACACACACTCCACCTGAACACACACACACCTTTCTCATGTCCAGCAGCGTCAGGCGTCCCAGCCGAGCGATGATGATCTGACGAGCAGTTTCCGGATTCTTCTCTTTCTGAAGCAGAGGATTCCTGCGACACGACAGATGAAGAAGAGAACGCAGCTTCTCCAGCTCGTTCACCACACACCACTACACACACACACACACACACACACACAAACCCATCCATTAAAACACTTTAGTTACTCAGAGTAAATAAACATCAGATGTAATCAGCGGCTGGCTGGTATTGACCTCTGAGATGTTGTTGTCGTCTAATAACAGAGTCTTCAGTGCCGGAAACGCCGTCGTCTCGTCGCCTCCACAGACAGGAGAGAGTTATTAATCCTCACACACACACACACACACACACACACGGTCATGTGACCTGCTGTACCTGCTGACGCGTCACTGAACTGAACCGCTGAGAAACCAGTGCTGGACAGATTCAGCTTCTCCAACCTGAAGATCACACACACACACACACACACACATAACTAATTACCATCACACACACACATAACTAATTACCATCACACACACACACACATAACTGATGACCATCACACACACACACAAACACACCTGATGGGTTAGTTCTCACCAGGGTAAGTGTGAGAGCTCCAGCACACACACACACACACACACACACACACACACATGCGCACACACACACACACACACACACACACACACCAGGGTAAGTGTGAGAGCTCCAGCACACACACACACACACACACACACACACACACACACACCAGGGTAAGTGTGAGAGCTCCAGCACACACACACACACACACACACACACACACACATGCGCACACACACACACACACACACACACACACACACACCAGGGTAAGTGTGAGAGCTCCAGAAGCGTCTCCTCCAGGATCGGGTTGTTGGATAAATCCAGAACTCTGAGATTCTGCAGCACAGCATCAGGTCTGATAAATAATGATCATAATTAATAATTAGATTAGATTAGATATACATTTATATACAGGTCCTTCTCAAAAAATTAGCATATTGTGATAAAGTTCATTATTTTCCATAATGTAATGATAAAAATTAAACTTTCATATATTTTAGATTCATTGCACACCAACTGAAATATTTCAGGTGTTTTATTGTTTTAATACTGATGATTTTGGCATACAGCTCATGAAAACCCAAAATTCCTGTCTAAAAAAATTAGCATATCATGAAAAGGGTCTCTAAACAAGCTATTAACCTAATCATCTGAATCAACTAATTAACTCTAAACACCTGCAAAAGATTCCTGAGGCTTTTAAAAACTCCCAGCCTGTTTCATTACTCAAAACCGCAATCATGGGTAAGACTGCCGACCTGACTGCTGTCCAGAAGGCCATCATTGACACCCTCAAGCAAGAGGGTAAGACAGAAAGAAATTTCTGAACAAATAGGCTGTTCCCAGAGTGCTGTATCAAGGCACCTCAGTGGGAAGTCTGTGGGAAGGAAAAAGTGTGGCAAAAAACGCTGCACAACGAGAAGAGGTGACCGGACCCTGAGGAAGATTGTGGAGAAGGACCGATTCCAGAGCTTGGGGGACCTGTGGAAGCAGTGGACTGAGTCTGGAGTAGAAACATCCAGAGCCACCGTGCACAGGCGTGTGCAGGACATGGGCTACAGGTGCCGCATTCCCCAGGTCAAGACACTTCTGAACCAGAAACAGCGGCAGAAGCGCCTGACCTGGGCTACAGAGAAGCAGCACTGGACTGTTGCTCAGTTTTGCATGTCATTCGGAAATCAAGGTGCCAGAGTCTGGAGGAAGACTGGGGAGAAGGAAATGCCAAAATGCCTGAAGTCCAGTGTCAAGTACCCACAGTCAGTGATGGTCTGGGGTGCCATGTCAGCTGCTGGTGTTGGTGCACTGTGTTTTATCAAGGGCAGGGTCAATGCAGCTAGCTATCAGGAGATTTTGGAGCACTTCATGCTTCCATCTGCTGAAAAGCTTTATGGAGATGAAGATTTCATTTTTCAGCACGACCTGGCACCTGCTCACAGTGCCAAAACCACTGGTAAATGGTTTACTGACCATGGTATTACTGTGCTCAATTGGCCTGCCAGCTCTCCTGACCTGAACCCCATAGAGAATCTGTGGGATATTGTGAAGAGAAAGTTGAGAGACGCAAGACCCAACACTCTGGATGAGCTTAAGGCCGCTATCGAAGCATCCTGGGCCTCCATAACACCTCAGCAGTGCCACAGGCTGATTGCCTCCATGCCACGCCGCATTGAAGCAGTCATTTCTGCAAAAGGATTCCCGACCAAGTATTGACTATTGAGTGCATAACTGAACATAATTATTTGAAGATTGACTTTTTTTTTTGTATTAAAGGTGCCTTGTGTAAAAAAAAAAATCTGTTAACGCAGCAATGAACAGGCTGCGATCAAGATTGCAATGCAGGAGTGTGTGTGTCTGTGTGTGCGCGCGCGCGCGAGAGAGAGAGAGAGAGAGAGAGAGAGAGAGAGAGAGAGAGAGAGAGAGAGAGAGAGAGAGAGAGAGAGAGAGAGAGTGAGAGAGAGAGAGAGAGAGAGAGAGAGAGAGAGAGAGAGAGAGAGAGAGAGAGAGAGAGAGAGAGAGAGAGAGAGAGAGAGAGAGAGAGAGAGAGAGAGAGAGAGAGAGAGCCCCGGCCGCGCGCGCGCACTCTCACGTCTTCAGACAACACGAGCGCTGTCCTCCTGCTCTCTCTCTCCCCTCGCGCATATTAATCAAATCAATTGACACGATCGTAAGACCGCAGTTCATTTGGAGATTTTTAGAGACTCAATGAACAACATCTCAACACTAAATTATAAAGGCCGGTCTCATTATAGACGCGATTGACATCAGGTTCAAGTACGCCCACAAGCCGTGCGAGTTATTCGTGTATTGGAGTTTGGCTGGTGGTTATGTATGTTGCCCGCATACCGCCTCCATGGCCCGAAACTGGTATTATGACACCGGCCGGGCCGGGGCTAGTAAATTTAGCATGCTAATTCAGGTTTATATCTCGGCTAGCACTATAACTTGTCATTTTTTTAATGACATCATTGCAATTATTTCTTCTCATTCTTTGATACGTGTAGCTCATTTGTTGGATATTTTTACCTCAATTTTTTACATATGGCACCTTTAAAAACACTTCTTTTATTGGTCGGAATGAAATATGCTAATTTTTTGAGACAGGAAATTTTGGGTTTTCATGAGCTGTATGCCAAAATCATCAGTATTAAAACAATAAAACACCTGAAATATTTCAGTTGGTGTGCAATGAATCTAAATATATGAAAGTTTAATTTTTTATCATTACATTATGGAAAATAATGAACTTTATCACAATATGCTTAATTTTTTTAGAAGGACCTGTAGTGCTTTTCTAGGAAACTGTACATTTTGAAAGCCTCATATATAGAGGAAAGCATGATGAGGGAATCATTCATACCTCGTTAACTCTGTGATGTCGTTATCAGAGAGATAGAGCTCCTCTAACTGCTGCCACATGGGGGCGCACTGGAGAACCTGCACAGGGGTCAGAGGTCAGAGGTCACAGCTGACACACAGTCTCCACACACACACACCTCACCTGAGTCCAGGTGAGTGCGCAGCTGTTGAGTGACAACAGTCTCAGACAGACACACACACACACACAACACACACACACACACCTCACCTGAGTCCAGGTGAGTGCGCAGCTGTTGAGTGACAACAGTCTCAGACAGACACACACACACACACACACACACACACACAACCTCACCTGAGTCCAGGTGAGTGCGCAGCTGTTGAGTGGACAGCAGTCTCAGACAGGAGAAGGCGGGGCTTAAGAGACTCGGGTCACTGGAGAAACTCAATCTATTGTGACTGAAGAAAGAAATTAAATTACAGAATATTACAGAAACCACATATTACCTCATATTACAGAAACCACAGTTATCATGAGATTCACCCATAAGTTGAATAAAACGATAGGATACGGAACCTTAAATTAAACCAAAACAGTCAATTCTTGTTTGTTTATGCAATATTGTAGTGTTTATTGTAAATTATTTATAGGCGTTTTAATGTTGAATCAGAATCAGTTCCTCTCAGCTTCCTCTTCTCTGATTGACGTGGGCGGGGCTTTAACCTGTCACTCACATGAGATCAGCCAATAGCAAACCACAACCAGCCAATCAACTCCCCACAGACACAATCAAGCCCCGCCCACATGTGTTCTTGTTCCTGAAGCGTTTTACTGGATATACGACACAATAGAGGAGAGAAGTGTTTGGAGTCGTGTGTGTGTGTGTGTGTGAGTGTGTGTGTCACCTGATCTGCAGCTCCCGCAGGACTCCAGCTGAGCCGTAATGGCCGCCAGAACCTCCCATGAGGCGAGCAGATTCCCCGACAGATCCAGAGACTCCACATCTGGCCGGCGCTGTTAAAGAAGCTCTCCCGAGCACCCAGACCAGTTTACTCTACAGGAGCTACTAGTTACTAGTTACTAACGACCTCTTCAACCATGTAATTAGATTTACTGTACTGTTTACTCTCTCTAACAAGTATTTACCTAATTACTTTCTAAATCCCATATCAACCTCAACCAGCAGAATAATACAAGGATAGACAATTCTTTCAAATAAATAATATAAAATTGCATGAATTATGCTTAAAGGGATACTCCACTTTTTTTGGAAATAGGCTCATTTTACAACTCCCCCAGAGTTAAACTGTTGAGTTTTACCGTTTTTGAATCCATTCAGCCGATCTCCGGTTCTGGCGGTACCACTTTTTAGCATAGCTTAGCATACATCATTGAAGTGGACAAGACCATTAGCATTTCTAAAAAAAAAATGACCAAAGAGTTTCGATATTTTTCCTATTTAAAACTTGACTCTTCTGTAGTTACATCGTGCACTAAGACCGACGGAAAATGTAGAGTTGCGATTTTCTAGGCTGATATGGCTAGGAACTATACTCTCATTCCTGCGTAATAATCAAGAAACTTCACTGCCGTACCATGAGAGCAGCAGGCGTAATGATATGACGCAGCGCCTGAAAATAGGCCACCTTCCGTCAACACAACGGAACTATTTTCAGGCGCTGCGTCATATCATTACGCCTGCTGCTCTCATGGTAACGGCAGTGAAGTTTCTTGATTATTACCGATTTTACCTGTGAGGTAAAAGGGACACCAGCTCTTGAAGCTCCGCCCCCTGTGCCAGGAACACCAGCTCATTTGCAATTTAAAGGGACACACAAACGGAGTGTTTTTGCTCACCCTCAAAAAGTGACAATTTCAACATGTTATAATAAATATCTGTGGGGTATTTGGAGCTGAAACTTCACACACACACTCTGGGGACATCAGAGACTTATGTCACATCTTGTGACCCCGCCGCCTTTAACTGACAGCTCTGTGAGCCGGTGCTCAGGGAAGGATATCGTGGCGTGGTGTTCCTGACCTGGTTCTGTGGGCCGGGCCCGGACACCTCGCATCTCCTCAGAGGACACTTCTGTCAGCTGATCCACCCTGGAACACAGGCCGCACAACTCCTCATGCACTTCAGCTCTCAACAACACCAAACAAGAATTATGATCTGGCTTATCCAATGTTCAGATTTACAAGCTGGAAATGTATGAAAATGTGTGTATACTTAATTAGATCACGCCTCATTTGCATATTCACATAACATTTCATAAAACCTGTAATACAAAACAAAATGTCTTAACGCTCTGGTGCTCTTCGCATGTCGGTCAAAAAAAATTATTTTTTATTTCAATGAAATGGATGTTCTATATTTTAGCTTGATAATGTTTTTCATTTAAAATTCTTTTTGAGCGCAAGACCTGAACATTAAATTTCCTGTGGAAAATCTTGATTCGGCTGCAGTTCCACACGCTTCCACTAGAGGAAACTCTCTCATTTCTGACCGCAGGAGCACAAGTGTGACTGTTGTTCAGGACCGTTAAACCTGTTCCAATCATGGCCATGATTTTGTGTGTGTGTGTGTGTGTGTGTGTGTGTGTGTGTGTGTGTGTTCACATAGCAAGTTTCAAAACCTTTACCAAGTTTGGTACCACTTCGATGGAAGAAAAGAAATTCAAAAAATAACTAAATTTGGTCCATATTGAGCGAGGAGCGCCAGAGCTGGTTACCTCTGTTTGAGCCGCACTCGCTCGAGCCCGACCATCAGGACGGTCTTGCTGGAGATCTTCATGTCTTCGAGCTCCTCCTCGTAGCGGCGCTTCAGAGCCGTCACGTAATCCACCCCGAACCGGGCCTTAGCGGGCCGCACGAACGAGCCGCCGGTCCGGTGTCTGGACACAGAGACGCGCGTCAGCTGACCCGAGACTCACACACGTCACATGTAGTGTTGTCAAAAGTGCCGTCTTCGGTACCAATCGATACTGGAATTTTAAAAATGTGAGGCTTTGAGCGGAATCACGAACGCCTCTGATTGGCCGTTGTGTTCACGCGCTCATCGGATATGTCTGTGATTGGCTACAGTGATCAGCGCACGGGAGCTTTACAGCGGACCGGTCCTGTTTTCAAACGCTCGGGTGTGTGTGTGTGTGTGTGCAAGCGCTCCCTGAAGAGCCTCATTGATGTATATTTACATGTTTTTGAAGCGCTGATCACTGTAGCCAATCACAGACATATCCGATGAGCGCGTGAACACAACGGCCAATCAGAGGCGTTCATGATTCCACTCAAAGCCTCACATTTTTAAAATTCCAGTATCGATTGGTACCGAAGACGGCACTTTTGACAACACTAGTCACATGATCATCTGAGGCTCCCATGAGCACCTGCAGGTGAAGAACCGCACTCCTTCATGGCTCCCATCGTGCTTCCCTCTCTCCGGATGATCCCACTCCACTCCCAGCCACACGCCTGCCAAACACACACACACACATGACCTCACACATCATTACTGTCACACACACTCGAAAACATACGACATAAAAAGCCAAAATTTACTTATCTGAGGGGAAAATCCAGTGTTTAATGTTGTTTATGTGTGTATGTGGTGTTTTTAATAGTTCATAAGTCGACAGCATTGCTGAGTATTTCCTCCTTAAAACTGCAGTGAACCAAAGACAGTCTCAAAAACACGGTTTGAAATCGCTGGTGTTTCTGACGTCACAAACGACCTTGTAACCAATCAGATCAACGTGTGATCGTCAACCAGTGGATCTCTGAGCTGAGTGAGTGAGTGGAGGCGGGGCTCATCTGCATATTCATAGAGCCGCGCATACTAAATGAGGCGAAGGTGTCAAGTTACATTCAAGATATTTAAAGGCATGAAGACATTATTTTCAAGGAAAAACTTTTTTTGTTGATCAAAGAAGAGTTTTAAGGGACTTTAAGTCATAATTATGAGATAAAAAGTTGAAATCATGACCAAATGTTTGGATAAAAAGTCATAAATATGGCATAAAAGTAAAAATTATGACATAGAAACATTTTAAACATACTTTTTATGTCATAATTTCGACTTTAGGTGATAATCGCGTGATGTGTATAGTGTTGCTGTTGTGATGTGGATGAAGGACCTGTTGTGGGCGGAACCGGGCCCATATATCGCACAGTTCCTCGGTGTCCATCACAGGTCACGCGCATGCCCACATGTTGTTCTTCCTCGTCCATCATTATCTTCTTCATCATCATCTAACGTACAGATCTACAGACATCAGAGGAGCGGCGTCTGCGGCGACAGCTCGGGTTTATATGCGTTCAATCATTATACAACATTCCCTGTAAGCAGAGACAGGCGAATTACACGCTGAATAACTTAAATATTAAATAATAACAGAGTGAAAATGTTCCTGCATCATTCTGACCTGCACAACCAGCAACAGGAAGTGACGTCAGGCGGTCCCGCGCTTAAACTGCGCCGACAACACCCTCGCGCTGCTATTTCACCTGTCTCTGTCAAACAGATAAAGTGATATAGAAATATATTCTTTAAATATACTGTCGTTTGCCTCGTTATCCAGAGTAGTGTCCTTGATGTGTCCTCGAGGTGAGATTAGTAGGAACTAATGATTTGTGTTTGTGGTTTCCAGGAGACAGAGAAACTCTGCGCACGCGCGTGTGAGCGACACAACCGAAACGTGTGTTTGTGTGTGAAATATTAATGTTGAAATATCTGACTGATATTTACACGGACATGAGCTCGGAGTGACATCATGAAGAAGAAGCAGCTTGCAAAGAGGTTTGTGGTGCCTTATGAATGTATAAACTGTAATATTTCACTCACAGTCATCAAATATTATTGAGCTCTGCGATGGAAGCACACATGGAAATAACCAGGCTTTTGCAAATCATAATTATGATATACGAACTCATAACTGACATAAAAAGTAGATATCATGACAAAAGGGTTTCGACTTTTTAATGTCAAGATTTCGGCATTTAATCTCATGATTATGACTTTTATTCCATTATGATTTACCAAAGCATGATTTGTTCTTATGTGCTGGAAATGAGCTTCTAATGTGATGTTTTTAGGTAAAATAGACATACAGTAATACATGCGTTTACTAAACAATTGTCTATATAATAATTGTTAATGCTAACTAATGTAGTTAACTAAACACCCTTATTGTAAAGTGTTACTGAAACAGCATATCATGGTATTAAACGGCTATGTTCTGGTTGTGTACTGTGTGTGTTCTGGTTGTGTACTGTGTGTGTTCTGGTTGTGTACTGTGTGTGTTCTGGTTGTGTACTGTGTGTGTTCTGGTTGTGTACTGTGTGTGTTCTGGTTGTGTACTGTGTGTGTTCTGGTTGTGTACTGTGTGTGTTCTGGTTGTGTACTGTGTGTGTTCTGGTTGTGTACTGTGTGTGTTCTGGTTGTGTACTGTGTGTGTTCTGGTTGTGTACTGTGTGTGTTCTGGTTGTGTACTGTGTGTGTTCTGGTTGTGTACTGTGTGTGTTCTGGTTGTGTACTGTGTGTGTTCTGGTTGTGTACTGTGTGTGTTCTGGTTGTGTACTGTGTGTGTTCTGGTTGTGTACTGTGTGTGTTCTGGTTGTGTACTGTGTGTGTTCTGGTTGTGTACTGTGTGTGTTCTGGTTGTGTACTGTGTGTGTTCTGGTTGTGTACTGTGTGTGTTCTGGTTGTGTACTGTGTGTGTTCTGGTTGTGTACTGTGTGTGTTCTGGTTGTGTACTGTGTGTGTGTTCTGGTTGTGTACTGTGTGTGTTCTGGTTGTGTACTGTGTGTGTTCTGGTTGTGTACTGTGTGTGTTCATGTTGTGTACTGTGTGTTGTTCCAGTGGGGATGCTGGGAGTTATACAGTGGGTCAGGTGTCCGGAAGCCTCTTCCCAGAACAACCCAAACCCGGAGCTTTATCCGCTTTATTCTCCTCCTCTTCATCAGCAAACACTCTAGTCTTCGTCCCTGCGCCACAGGTGTGTGTATCAGAGGATCTCAGTGTGTGTGTGTGTGTGTGTGTGTGTGTGTGTGTGTGTGTGTCGTAACGCTGGTTTCTCTCGTCAGCCTAAAGCGTCTCCGCCAGCGCCTGGTTCCGCTCAGAGTCCCGGCCCGATCCGCCGGCTGAAGAAGACCCTGAAGAAGCCGTCGGCGGCCGAGCAGAAGCTGCAGGACCGGTCAGTGTGTGGACGTGCTCTAGGAGTTCACTCATTACTGTATAACAATTAGGGGTGGGCGATATGGACTCAAAACTATATCCTCATATTTTCCGGTATTTATTGACGATATAAATACAGTAATATCTTGATTTTGGCTGCAGGCGTTCATGAGCCTCAGAAACACAAGCACTGATTTAAAGGACTCGTTCCCATCATCACATCGGCTCCTATAATATTACATAAAATATATATTTTTAAAAAACAGTAAAAATCCAAACATCAGCTGTGTAGAAATGGAAAAGTTTGCAGATAATGTTTAAATAGTGCAACTGTACTAATAAACACCACACAATAATAATTCAAATCAATTATCACTAACACTAATACGGATAAGATAATAACCCTGCTGAGTTCTGCTGATGATGTACGCCGCACTGAGGAGCTGCTCATGAATATTAATCACGCCATTCCTTTCTGCTCATAAAGGCTGAATAATTCCTAAAGAACTGCATTATTTCTACAGGAAACAATTAATAATATCGTTTACATGATGCACGTCAGTTCTGCGAGGTGTGTCACTCTCTTGCTCTCTCTCTCTCTCTCTGAGTGTGTGTCACTAGTAGGGTTGGGTACCGAAACTCGGTGCCAATAGGGAACCGGTTCCGACGTAAACGGTAGTAACCAGACCGAATAAGAACGACAATTTCGGTGCCTGACTTAATTAGGCACACACGCACACACACACACGCACAGTCTCTTCTGTCTCGCATGCGTGCTCTTGCTCGCAAGGTTTGGCTGCATTTCACGTGTAAAATTACGCGTCAGAACCATAGACAGTATAAGGAGTGGACAGAGCATCTCATTGGAACTCAGTTGAGACAGTTGAAGCCCATTTTTAGGGATTTTTGAGCACTTCCGTTCCTGACGCGCAGACTCAGACCGACTCAAACTAAGCTTGATGACGTGAGCAACCTGTCTGACAGACGCTAATCTTCTAGTAGCTGTGCGTGAAAATTGCCAACGTTAATCTTGCAGAGACGGGGAACTTGAGCAAAGAGTTCTTTGGCGTGAGTGAGCAGGAGTAAGTATTCCGTTGCTTTTATGGACTCATTATCTATGGGCTTCTCCCTTGACGGGACGTCCCCCCGATCGCCTGCGAGCTTCTCCTCCTGTCTGTACGGTCATTTCTGTACAGCGCGACAGAGAGTCGAGTGGTTATGACGCAATCGTTAGCCTATTTTTACTAAATCTGTTTCTACGGGGCCATTATGTAACATAGAAGGTAATGGAGCCCTTTATACATTGTCGTGTTTCTTTAGAAAGAAATAATGGACAAATGGAGTCTTTAAACGCCTCAGATGTAAAGTTATTCGCTGTCAAAGTGACGCCAAAATGAATGGGAGTCAATGGAAATGCTAACGCAAGTGAAGTTCTGCTACAACATGGCGGCACCCGGCCGGCTTCAACTTCCGGTCGATGGATTACCCCCTTGGTCAGAACGCCCTCTGGGTGTGCCGATAGTCTGAATCCATATAGAATCAAGCCGTCATTACGTCGTCATATTATGTTGGCGCGCCGCCATCTGCTCCTCAGATTTCTCTGCCGAAAAAGGAAGCTGGTCGGCAGCGCGAGGAGCTTGGCAGCGTCTCGTTCCCTATTGAGAGATATGTTACACCAGTAACCAGAGATGTTCTCTTTCATAGGTTCACTCACCGCTGCGTAGCTAAGAAGCAGTGGATTTGTAGGCTGCCGTATCAGTGCCGTTTGAACTGACGCGCTACAGCGATCTGTCACATTTCAAAGAGCCAAAACGTTATTTATTGTGTGAATCTCGTAAAAATATTGACAGAATCTGACAGCTGTGGATTTGTTCCATATCAAAAGTAACCTTCTCTGTCTTGTCTGTCGGTGTCGGTGTCCTCTTTGTCCGCGATTTTTCTCTGTGTGAGAGCGTGTGAAAAGGGTCAATTCCGTCTCACGGTCAATGCGTGAGAGTTGGCAGCTCTGCCTGCTAGTAATCTCTATTAATCTCCAATATTATTACATTGTTTGATACAATATTGTTTTATTTTATATTATGTAAATGTTAATTTTATATTGGTTTTATTATTATTTGTATTTATATTGTTTAAAGATTTAAGTTAATATTGTGTCCAGTTTGGCCCTGTAAATTAAAGGGTATTATTTTTTGATAAAGTGTGTGCGGTTTCATTTTCTTAAGTACCGTTTCAAGAACCGTTTAAGCACCGGAACCGTTTAAAAAATACCGAGTAGGTACTGGAATCGGATAAAACCCAACCGATACCCAACCCTAGTCACTAGTGTTACTGTGGTCCGATACACTCATGCGGAGAGAGACTCGCACGTCCGCTACACGAGCTGCGGGCGAATGAATGATCCCGCTGTTCTCCGCAGAGAGAGCGCTCTCCAGAACGCAGACGATGACGGGCCGGCGACTGCGAGGAAACACACACACACACACACACGCCCGGACGAGGAGGAGGATCCACGAGCCGGCGGACGCAGGAGGAAGAACACGGCGGAGGAGCGGCTCAAGCTGAAGCGCACGGTGTTCGTGGGGAACCTGCCGGCCAGCTGCAGCAAGAAGGTGCTCACACACACACACACACACACACACACACACACACACACACACACAGCTGCAGCAAGAAGGTGCTCACACACACACACACACACACACACACACACACACACACACACACACACACACACACACACACACACAGCTGCAGCAAGAAGGTGCTCACACACACACACACACACACACACACACACACACACACAGCTGCAGCAAGAAGGTGCTCACACACACACACACACACACACACACACAGCTGCAGCAAGAAGGTGCTCACACACACACACACACACACACACACACACACACACACACACACACAGCTGCAGCAAGAAGGTGCACACACACACACACACACACACACACACACAGCTGCAGCAAGAAGGTGCACACACACACACACACACACACACACACACACAGCTGCAGCAAGAAGGTGCTCACACACACACACACACACACACACACACAGCTGCAGCAAGAAGGTGCTCACACACACACACACACACACACACACAGCTGCAGCAAGAAGGTGCTCACACACACACACACACACACACACACACACACAGCTGCAGCAAGAAGGTGCACACACACACACACACACACACACACACACACACAGCTGCAGCAAGAAGGTGCACACACACACACACACACAGCTGCAGCAAGAAGGTGCTCACACACACACACACACACACACACAGCTGCAGCAAGAAGGTGCACACACACACACACACACACACACACACACACACACACAGCTGCAGCAAGAAGGTGCACACACACACAGCTGCAGCAAGAAGGTGCACACACACACACACACACACACACACACAGCTGCAGCAAGAAGGTGCTCACACACACACACACACACACACACAGCTGCAGCAAGAAGGTGCTCACACACACACACACACACACACACACACACACAGCTGCAGCAAGAAGGTGCACACACACACACACACACACACACACACACACACAGCTGCAGCAAGAAGGTGCACACACACACACACACACACACACACACACACACACACACACACACACACACACACACAGCTGCAGCAAGAAGGTGCACACACACACACACACACACACACACACACACACACACACACACACACACACAGCTGCAGCAAGAAGGTGCACACACACACACACACACACACACACACACACACACACACAGCTGCAGCAAGAAGGTGCACACACACACACACACACACACACAGCTGCAGCAAGAAGGTGCTCACACACACACACACACACACACAGCTGCAGCAAGAAGGTGCACACACACACAGCTGCAGCAAGAAGGTGCACACACACACACACACACGCTCACACACACACACAAACACACGCTCACACACACACACACACACACAGCTGCAGCAAGAAGGTGCACACACACACAGCTGCAGCAAGAAGGTGCACACACACACACACACACACACACACACACACACACACACAGCTGCAGCAAGAAGGTGCACACACACACACACACACACACACACACACACACACACAGCTGCAGCAAGAAGGTGCTCACACACACACACACACACACACACACACACACACAGCTGCAGCAAGAAGGTGCACACACACACACACACACACACACACACACACACACACACAGCTGCAGCAAGAAGGTGCACACACACACACACACACACACACAGCTGCAGCAAGAAGGTGCACACACACACACACACACACACACACACACACACACAGCTGCAGCAAGAAGGTGCACACACACACACACACACACACACACACACACACACAGCTGCAGCAAGAAGGTGCACACACACACACACACACACACACACACAGCTGCAGCAAGAAGGTGCACACACACACACACACACACACACACACACACACACAGCTGCAGCAAGAAGGTGCACACACACACAGCTGCAGCAAGAAGGTGCACACACACACACACACACACACACACACACACACACAGCTGCAGCAAGAAGGTGCTCACACACACACACACACAGCTGCAGCAAGAAGGTGCACACACACACACACACACACACAGCTGCAGCAAGAAGGTGCACACACACACACACACACACACACACACACACACAGCTGCAGCAAGAAGGTGCACACACACACACACACACACACACACACACAGCTGCAGCAAGAAGGTGCTCACACACACACACACACACACACAGCTGCAGCAAGAAGGTGCACACACACACACACACACGCTCACACACACACACACACACACGCTCACACACACACACACACACAGCTGCAGCAAGAAGGTGCACACACACACACACACACACACACACACAGCTGCAGCAAGAAGGTGCTCACACACACACACACACAGCTGCAGCAAGAAGGTGCACACACACACACACACACACACAGCTGCAGCAAGAAGGTGCACACACACACACACACACACACACACACACACACAGCTGCAGCAAGAAGGTGCACACACACACACACACACACACACACACACACAGCTGCAGCAAGAAGGTGCTCACACACACACACACACACACACAGCTGCAGCAAGAAGGTGCACACACACACACACACACGCTCACACACACACACACACACACGCTCACACACACACACACACACAGCTGCAGCAAGAAGGTGCACACACACACAGCTGCAGCAAGAAGGTGCACACACACACACACACACACACACACACACACAGCTGCAGCAAGAAGGTGCACACACACACACACACACACACACACACACACACAGCTGCAGCAAGAAGGTGCTCACACACACACACACACACACACACACACACACAGCTGCAGCAAGAAGGTGCACACACACACACACACACACACACACACACACACAGCTGCAGCAAGAAGGTGCACACACACACACACACACACACACACAGCTGCAGCAAGAAGGTGCACACACACACACACACACACACACACACACACACAGCTGCAGCAAGAAGGTGCACACACACACACACACACACACACACACACACAGCTGCAGCAAGAAGGTGCACACACACACACACACACACACACACACAGCTGCAGCAAGAAGGTGCACACACACACACACACACACACACACACACACACACACACACACAGCTGCAGCAAGAAGGTGCTCACACTCACACACTCACACACACACACACACACTTATCTGCATATTCAGCAATATTACTGATCTCCTGCACTGACAGCATTATATGAGAACTGACCTCACGCATCACTTCCTGCTGTTCACTGACCTCACGCATCACTTCCTGCTGTTCACTGACCTCACGCATCACTTCCTGCTGTTGTGTTGCAGAGTCTCCTGTCGCTGTTCAGGCCGGCGGGAGTCGTGGAGTCGGTGCGCTTCCGTTCAGTGGTGCGTCTCTAGAGGTTATAGACTCAGAATCTCACGTCACTGCGCGAGTGTAATACGTGTGTGTGTGTGTGTGTGTGTGTGTGTTGCAGGTTCGGGAAGATCCAACGCTTTCCCGCAAAGTGGCGGCCATACAGTGAGTCCCGAGTCTATTACTCTTATTAAAATACTGTTTCCACAGCATCTTATATATACGAGAGAGATACTCCAGTTCTGGGATCGAATACTTGCGGTCAGGAATCTGACACTGATATGATATTAAACCTTGGACTCTGTAATGTGAATGATATCTCAAGTTTTTTTTTTTTTTTTTTTTTGGGAATCGAAAAGATCGATAAGAATCGGAATCTTTAAAATTCAAACGATACCAAACCCATATATTATATAACGCGATTAATGTCAAGCACACACAACATGCGTCATGTTTATGAGTGTATAAATGTTATGTTTAAAGTGTTCACTCCTGTCCTCCTCCGAATAACGGCACATTTAAAGGATTGGCTGTGGAATGACGGGAACTAAAATACATGTTTATAATTGCGTTTTATTTCCTGGTATTTATGAATATAATAATAAACTGATGCCACTTGCGATCTGTGTTTTTCCTTCCCTGCAACTTATTTCCTGGATAATCCGGTCCTGATCCGGTCTTCATATCTAGGAGGAAAGTTCATCCCAAAAAGCAGAATATTAACGCGTACGTCGTGTTCCGAGAGGAAGAGGCGGCGGCCGGAGCGCTGAAATGGTACGAGTTAATTTGCAGATTTTTACTGTATTCTTATGAAACAAATATTAAGGACGTGCATTTGATCTTTTGCAGGAATGGGCGGGAGATCCAGACGGGTTTCCACATCCGAGTGGACCGGGTCTCTAAGCACAGCGCAGTGAGTGTCATAAACGCTGGTGTTGATATAATTATTCCCATATTCTGCTCTTTTACAGTCTTGATGATAGTATTTTCTTTACTGAAGAGCTCATATTCTGCCCTTGTTCAAAGTCGTTTTTAGTCTCTTCTAGAACTTGAATGTAGGGCTGGGCGATAAATCGATTTTATCGATTAACTCGAATGTGTAGTTTACGCAAGTTTACGCCGATTTTTTAAAATGAAAATCGGTTTTCTCTTTAACAACCGCCGACGCGCCAATCTGGGCTCCCGTAGTTCCGACCGGGCTCAGCGCTTGCCATGATAGAGATACACAAACAACATGGCAAATGAACAAGACCGCGGCAGCAGAAGCACACCCGCCGAAAACATTTACAAACTGAATCTGCAGGGCCGCCAACTCTCACGAGTTCACTGTGAGAGACGCAATTGTCACTTTTTACACGCTCTCACGCACACATGCATTATCTCACGCAGAGAAACATCGCGCAGAAAAGATCAAGAGGACACTGACACCGACAGACTAGACAGAGCAGGGTACTATTGATAAGAAACGGATTCTCAGCTCTCAGATTCGGTCAATTTTAATACGAAATTCAAACAATAAACACAGTTTTGGCGCTTGTAAATGTGACGTGAAAGATCGCTGACAGATCTCAGTTCAAGCGGCACATGAACCGATCATCTGTTTTTCTTCACTACTAACTTACCCAAATGTAGCTAATAAAATCGATCGATCAGTGTTTTTCAACCGCGGAAAGATGTCCATAAAACAGCTGGAGAACAACATGTGTCACGCAACGTTACATTTACCTCAGGATGCCTTTTAATGACCCACGCATGTTAGTTGGACTTAAAATAATTGCTATAGAGAGGAGTGTTTTGCTAAATATGATAACTATATTACACATTTATTATATTTTTACCTATATCATTCAAATATTATAACGTTGTTTGTTATTATAAAAACACACATTTAATTTGAGTTAGTTTTAACCTTTAATAATACCAGCTGACAGGGCTCTCTGTATGTTTACAGCATTAGGTGATTTATTTTTGGAGAACAATTAACATAACACATTAACGTATCTACTGTACCTAATATTTATCCAAAGGAATTGATATTGAATCAATATCAGAATCAAAATCACAAGAATTGAATTGAAATTGTGAAATTTGTGTTAAGCAATAATAAAAACAGTAGCATACCAGTCTAGTTTAGTTACCAAATAATTTGACAATCACAATAATCATTGTGATGCAAGTTTTTTTTTTTTTACATCCCCCCAATCCACCCATTTTATGTTATGTTACATTTACACTATTTACAAAGACAGGGCCTGCCTCTTGTCTTTTTGGCTTGTTGTTTCTGATTGCACTTTAATCCAGATAATATCCCAGAAGGGAATATCAAAACAAAATAAACTTAAAACTTGTTTTGAACAATTTCTTTGTCATCTGCAGATTGATTTTAAGTAGGGAGAGAAAAAAATCTATTTAAATCGGATTTTTTGTGAAAAAATCGGGGATTTGTTTTTTTAGGCCATATCGCCCAGCCCTGCTTGAATGTTGATTATTCTCCTCATATTCTCCATTGTTGCGGCTCCTCTCTTCCCAGTCTGTCAGTAACGCTCTGTTCACTTCCTGTCTCTATGAAGCCCCTCCTCCTGAAAGCACACTGTGCTCTGATTGGTCGGCTGGAGCAGTGTGTTGTGATTGGTCGAGCGCTTTGAGTGTGTTTGGGAAATGCCCCGCCCCTTTCCATAACCGCTAGTTTAACACACTACTGACTAACTCAACCAGGCCCCGCCCCTTTATTCTGCGTATGAATTATTATAATGAGGAATATTGTGACGCGTTCGAAACTCAAGACTAATGGAGGCGTTTCAGGAGTTCAGGAACACTGACGCTGATATAGAGGAGAACTGGAGCTTCTCATGATCACACAGCAACATCACAGGAAAAATCCAATAATCAATCTTTTTCTTTCCACAGCATGATCATAAACGGTCCATATTTGTGGGGAATTTGCCGTATGGTGAGTCAGCGACTTCTGAAGTCTCTCCTCTCTGCAGAACTGCTTCTCTTACTCAGTATTTCTGTCTCGCTTCCAGTCAAAATATCGAAACATTCTTAAATGAAGATGCGTTTACTAGAGGAGTAAAATGCCATGAGATATTATATCTTGTTTTCTGGGGAAATCAATCAAAATTAAGTGAGTTGTTGCTTAAACAAAAGCAAAATGATCTGCCAATGGGGTGAGAAAAGCATTTTTTGCCGTGCTCACTCAGTTTCTCGTGTGTGTGTGTGTGTGTGTGTGTGTGTCAGATGTGTCAGAGCTCCCGCTGCGAGAGCACTTCGAGGAGTGCGGGACCGTAGAAGCCGTGCGTCTGGTGCGAGACAGGGATTCTGGGATGGGAAAAGGCTTCGGATACGTCCTGTTTGAGGTCATTAATATGCATTTGATCAATTTAATCTTACTTTTTAGCCATATACACTACCAGTCAAAAGCTTCGGATCGGTACAATTTTTAATGTTAACCGTTTAAAACAGTGAAATATTAAAATATTACTGCAGTGTAAATCATCTGTTCTCTATGTGAATATACAGTAAAGTGTAATTTATTCCTGTGATCAAAGCTGAGTTTTCAGCATCATTACTCCAGTCTTCAGTGTCACATGATCCTTCAGAAATCACTCTAATATGAGGATCTGATGATCAAGACACATTTATCAATATAATGAGAACTTTATATTATACAATATTAGAATATTATACAATGTTGAAAACTGTTATTTACCTTTTATTTTCAGGATTCTTTGATGAATAGAAAGTTCAAAAGAACAGCATTTATCTGAAATATAATCTTTTATAACGTCAAAGAATAAAAATGTAAATAACTGTTTTCAACACTGATAATAATCATAAATGTGTCTTGATCATCAGATCCTCATATTAGAGTGATTTCTGAAGGATCATGTGACACTGAAGACTGGAGTAATGATGCTGAAAACTCAGCTTTGATTTTTAAAATATATTAAAGAAAACTGTTATTTTAAATTGTCATAATACTGTTTTTGTGTGTGTGTGTGTATTTTTAATCAAATAAATGCAGCCTTGGCAGAAGAGACTTCTTTTAAAAATAGAAAAAATCTCACCGATCCAAAGCTTCTGACCTGTAGTGTGTGTATCAGCATCTGCACTAAATTTTCATATTTTTGTGCCTCTGAATAAAACTGCTGTTTTTTTCCTCCATATTCTCAGACTTTATGAGCCATAAAAGATCAAATATGATACAAAACATATGCCAACTGTTTTTCGATTGGGTGGTTGTGTTCCAGAGCCCAGATTCGGTGATGCTGGCGCTGAAGCTCAACGGCTCCACTCTGCTGGAGCGGCGGATCCGGGTGAAGCGGTCCGTGAAGAAGGAGAAGCAGAAGAAGCCTCCGTCAGCTGGAGCGCCCGGCGGGAAGAGCGGTCCGGACACACAGCGGCGCAGACTCAAAGGCCCGAAGCACGAGTTCAGGAACAGCCTGAAGAGTTCGGGACCGAAACCGACACAAGCGTCCTCGTTCAGCGGCGAGACGGCGGATCCGGCCGCCAGGAGGAGCCGAGCGCTGAAGAAGAAGAAGAGGAGCAGACCCGCAGTCCACATCTGATCTAATAAACATCATTAATAAACATCTGATTAAACACACTGCTGTTTCTGTCTCTAAAACAACCCAGACGATTTTAATAAACTTTGAATTTTTCATTATCGCCTCTTTTTTTTCCGGCAGATTCATGCTGAATATTGTTAATGGCTTTAGTCTTGCTTAGTTGTGGACATTTAATATTCAGCAATATTATTGATCTCCTGCATTATATGAGAACTGAGCTGGACGATGACATCACGGGTTCCTCCAGAGCGGCTGTATGTATATATATATATATATATATATATATATATATATATATATATATATGAAGAACTAAATAACTCTTTTACAACAGAACTGAAGCATCACTGGACTGAGACGCTATTCTCTCCTGGACACACACTGCTGCATTATTCTCCTGTATCTCTGTAAAGCTGCCCTGACACACTCTATAGTAAAAGGTGCTATATATAAATAAAGCTGACTTTAATATTTTAAGTTTTATTCATAAACACAAATGCATTGTGCAAGCAGGATTAACAATAGCATATTTCTGAATTAACATCAAGATAGATTAATAAATGCTGTGAATAACTGATGTCTTCATTCTTAGTTCCTGATCCCTGACGAATTAAAGTTATAATTATTTAAAGACTATTATTGTGTGTTTTCCGGCTGAACGACACGAGAGCGACTGAAGCATATTTGAACTTTAAGGTTTAATCTTCAAATTGCATTTGTGCATCACAAGATCTCGTTATTAATGGAGGCACACGAATGACTTCATCAGTTTATCTGTTTTTATTTGGAGTTTAAAAAAAGGAAACTTAAACGTGCTTCATTTCCCACAATTCCACATCAGACGCCTCAGCCTTGGAGAATAACTTAAACACGAGGACAGATCAATGACAGACGAAAGACATCCTGTCTATTACTGATATTAATGAAAATGCAATAATAATTGGCTAGTAAAACAAACGATCGTTGTTTACAGCTCATATCCTCTGAAACACTCGTCAGCTTCCACAAGCTCATTACAGATTCAACAACATAAACAGAAAACTCTTTCTATCCCAAACGCTTCTTTAAATCCGTGTCAGTGTTGGATCGGTGGAGGGAAAGGGCAGACAGGAAGTGATGTCATAGAGCCGCTGGAGTTCCTGCTATTCGATGTCGTCGTCGCTGACGCTCTGAGCGCTGACGATACGCTGAGAAGAGGAAAACATGACATTTGCATTTGGGAATTCGTAAGACATTTAAATAATAATGAAAACATTTATTCATCTCATTATTATGGAGCAATTAATTATGGAAGCTCGTTTCTGCCACAGAATAAATAATTAAAAAGTGGCTTTTTATTTCAGTCTTCTGACTTATTATAGTTACAAATTGTTAGACACAGACAGACAGATGATGATGGATGGATGGATGTTTGGATGGATGGATGGACAGATGGATGGACAGATGATGGATGGATGGACAGATGGATGGATGTTTGGATGGATGGATGATGGATGG